TCTTTCCATTTCTTCGTCCCTTCCATCCTGCCGCTGAGCCTATTGACAGCCTTTCATCTTATTCCATTTTTCAGTTCTAATTCTCCCGGGTGGCTATTTTTCATAGCTTTTCTTTCTTTGCAGAGACAAATTGCTGACATTTTGGTTTAGTCTTTATTGCCTTTCCTCTTTTGGTCTAAATCTTTCTGGTTCTTGACACAGTGAGTGGCTTGAGGTTGAGATATGGATATTTTGAGCATTATGAGATTTATTATTTAAAACTGTTTTAGCTGGCCACCCCTCTGCTGGGGAAAGTGACTTGTGACTGGTAGATGCCTGGGGAAGTCCATCCAGTTTCCCGGTTCCACCTGCACTGGCATCTGAGGTGAGGGCTCTTTGTTCCTGCTGAATGGGAGTGGGAATTCTGATTCCACACGGGTGCTCTACTGATCTCGCAGTGGCTGTGCGAGGTAGCTTGTTGCGGTTAGATGCCATTAAATTGGTTCCAACTCAGACCTTCTGACCAATAGAACAAAGCACTCCCTAGTCCTGTATCTTCGTCACAGATGTTGCTACGTTTGAGGCCATTGTTGCATCCTCCATGCTGTCTCGTTGAAGGCCGTCTCCTTTTTTCACTCACCATCTACTCTACCAGCCTGGTGCCCTTTCCCAAGATTGGTCTGTCCTGATAATATGTCCAAAGCACATCAGAGACAGCCCACCATCCTGGCTTCTAAGGACCGTTTTGGATGGACTTCTTGCAAGGCAGACTTGCTTTTTTCTCTGGAAGTCCATGGGTACTTTCAGTATTTTTCACCAACACCAGAATTCAAATGCAGTATTGTTTCTTCCTCCTTCCTTTTCACATTTCAACCTTCCAGTTTTCACATCCAGAGGCGGCAACTGAATCCATGATGGGGTGGGTCAGGCGCACCTTAGTCCTCAGAGTGACAGCTTTGCTTTTGAACACTTTTTAAAGAGAGCTTTCGCAGCAGATTTGCCCAGTATAATACATCCTTTGATTTCTTGACTGCTGCCTCCAGGAGTGTTGCTTGTGGATCCAAGTAAAATGAAATCCTTGACATCAATCTTTTCTCTACTTATTATGCTATTATTGATCCAGTTGTGAGGATGTTCATTTTACAGTAAGCTGCAATCCATACCAAAGGCTGTATCCTTTGGTCTCCATCAGGAAATGCTTCACAGTCTCTTCCGTTTCAGCAAGGCAAGTTGTATCATTAGTATAGTTCAAGTTGTTAAGGGATCTTCCTGTTTTTATAATCCAGTTTCTCAGATTTATTTGCTCAGCATCAGGTTAATTAAAGTGGCAGTGCATCATTACTGCTCCCCATATGGATCGCGCTGCCACTATAGAAGATGCAATGGGAGGGAAAGTCCAGCAGGTTCCCCAGTCTTTCATGAGACCACCTCCCCAAGAAGGCAGGGGCAATGCAGGAGGGCTGTTTGTTAGAACCTGTCAAGTAGAGATATCTTCAAGTAGAGATAGATATCTAGGCCCCCTATTTGCACGAATGAGGGTGAGACCCTTTTTGGGTGGTTGTTGGCTGGAGTAAGAGTGACTTTTTACAAGTATGTTAGGTTGGTAGTATTTTCTGGTGTTCTGGCTGGAGAAAGAAAGCTTTTATTGTTTCGGGCTGCTGTTGTTTTTTGTCTGTGCCTACTGGCGTTTCCATGTTGCTGGTTTCTCCTCCTGTAAACCGGGACGATAGGAAGCAAAAAGAACACCAAGGAAATGCACTGCCATGACATTCTTCCAAGTGAAAGTTTTAAATGTAACATTCAGAATATTCCATTGTACTTAGAGGACACATAAAGAAAGTGGTGTGTCAACTCCATTTCTCATGGTTTTGTTTTGCATATTTATTTTTATATAAGAGCTATTTACAAAGAATTAAATAAAATAATAAAAATGTGTTTCTTAGAGCAAAATAATATGGATGGGTGGCCAAAGCATCTTAATAGCTTTTGACTATATACTGACTATCAAATGAAGTAGTTTGAAACAATGACCCTGGCATCCAGTAGAATAGAGTTAAGGTAGGAAGCCAAGGTATGCACTGCAAAAAGAAGGTACCTCACAAGACAGTAACCATTTAAGTACTCAATGATTAGTGTTGTTTGCCAGAGGAGGGTGGGGCAAACAGGGAAGCCCCCCATTTCCAGAGAGAGAGGGAGACTTTGAGCAAGCTCAGAAAAATCACACTTGGAAAAGGAAGGAGGCACCCAGGTAAGAGAGTAGGATCAATGAAGGTGCAAAGTTAAGATTGTTGACATAATTGTTGTAAATTATTATAAGGTATATATCTAGGCACCATGGCAAGCACTTTGGATTATTTTAATTATCCTTCATAACATCCTTTGGTAATGTAAATGATTCCATTTTAAATATGGGAAAACTAAGACCAAGAGGTGATTGCCCCCGAGCTGCAAAGAGCTGCAAAGATTCTGTCTGAAATATTACCACTACCCTGGAATGCCTGGGATGCACAGGGCATTTGACTAAAGCAGAGAATTAATAAGGGAGAAGAGGGGTAACAATGAAACCTGGGACAGGAGGTACAAGTCTTTACTCAAAGGAAAAAGGAGGGTCTGATGCGGACTCTTTGGAGGCACAGGTGGGAGGGAGGAGAAGAAACAGAAGAGAGCCAGTTTCCATACATGAGGCAAAACATGACTCAAAGGACTTTTACCCAAAATTTCTTATCGAGTTCCTTGCCGTTAATTTCATTTAAAAAATAAGTCAGGAGGCTCCCAATGGGCCATATTCTTTTGAGATCGCCCTCTCCCTCTCCCCTCTTCCCTGTGCCTTCTCTCCCCGCTCTCCTTCCTCTCCCGCTGTTGTAGTTACATAATCTGGTGTCAATTTGAGAGGATTACGAGTGAAGGGGTGGAGTCTGGTCTGTCAATCAAGGTATAACCAAATGAGGTCTCTGTGTGGGCATGGCCTTCTCCTGAGAAGTCTGGGAACCCCGGTATTTCCTCCTTGAAGGTGGAAGACACATTCTCCTTACTTCCTGAGATGACGCTCTAGTGACAAGACAAGACACATGGCACTATGCTGATAGACCCTGTGCTCTGGGTACTGGAGAAGCCATGTGGAGACTCCTGCCATCGCTGAGATGCTTACAACGTCGCTGGATCCAAAGACTTTCTACCCACTGGGCTGTGGTCATCCTGCATTCAGCATCATTGCATTGTGTTTCATGAGTCTGAAGAAGATTTTATAGATTGGTATCAGACATATGGGCTAATATCAGACTTATGGGCTTGGACTGGACTGGACTGGGTTGGGATGCTTTCTTAATGTACAATTATCCTTTATATTAAACTCTCTTATACATGTGTGTCAATGAATTTGTTTCTCTAGTCTACCCAGACTAACTCACTATCTCCTTCTTTCTATAAATGTTACATTAAGGGCTCTTTAAAGAAAGCAGTTTTTGTTTGGTTTTTGGTGCTAGACACTTTGTGATGTGATGGTTTAACTTCCAGTGAGCTCCGGGTTCCTGTTTTTAAAGTGTCATGTGACTGAATCATGCTTAGTCATTCGGTCAGCCTGCTTAGGTTAGCTAGACACAATGTGGGCAGACAGAACGACATCACAGCCCCTTCAAAAGAGGAGATTCAGAAGGGAAGAGAACGATTTCAAGAGAATTTTGCTCCAGAAGACTGGCTAAGACCCAAAAGAAGAAAAACCAGATTAAATGGGTCCCAGTAAGCTCTTGGATAGTGTTATGGATTCAATTATGTCTCCCCAAAATGTGTTGTAAATCCTAACCTTTATTTGGGAATGGGTTATCTTTGCTATGTCAATAATGTAGGGTGTGTATGGAATCAATCTCTTTTGAGATATAAAAGAGATGGCACAATCAACCGGCAGCAATTGGGTCAGGGAGGGCAAAGCACATCAAGATTGCACAGGGGCAGCAGCTCAAACAGGACAGGGACCTTCCTTCAGAGCTGACAGAGCCTTACCCCTGAGTCAGCATCCTCAATTCAAGCTTCCAGCTTTCTACACTGTAAAAAAATACAAATATCTGTTTATTAAACCCATCCTTTTGTGATATTTCTGGTTCAGCAGCCCTGGTGGCATAGTCTTTGCTCATTGGGCTACAATCCGAAAGGTCAGCAGTTCCAAACCAGCAGCCACACCTGGGGAGAAAGAAGAGGCTTTCTCCTCTTCAGAAACTCAGGGGGCAGGTCTATGGACTGGCTACAACTAGCACTAGATAACGGACAGACAGCATAGCTTTGGCTGAGCCATAAAGCCCAGGGGATAGCATTACACTCTATAGTAATACAGGGAGAGTGGGCCCAAACCACTCACAATCTGGGAGTAATTACAGAGCAGCATTTCTCAAAGCCTGTTCTAGAGAACACCAATTCCATGGAATAATCTGAGAAGAAAGGGTACCATAGTTTGTGTGTGGGGGGGGAAACAGGTAACTTTGTTAACTTTCAAATAACTTTGTTAGCTTTCAAATAACTTTCAGCTGAAGGTTTTTGGGAGCTTCCAGAATGTTCATGTGTCTCCCCCAGAGAAGCACAGGGCTCTCAAACTTACTTGTTCACAGAGCCCTCCCCTCCTTTTGGGGGGTGGCAATTTCTTATGAAATGGCCTTTGATACATTCTGTGGCCGTAAAAGACATTTAAAACACACACAGACCTGTATCCCCCACTATTGGTTCTTCTGATTCCTCCAAGATACACATAGATGACATGTGCTTATCATACTTTAAAGTTAAATGAGTATTTCCTATCTAGATAAAAAAAAATCAAAAGAGCCAAGTAATTTTCTTCAAATTCCCAAATTCTATCCCCAACCCTCTAAACTATGCAAAGTGAATCAACAAACTAGTTCATAAGAGAAAATTGCAGAGATTTTATACACTTATTTTGTTATGAATGTTGAATTATAGCTAGTTTTATAAAGTCAATCAGATTCCCACATCTCTTTCTGGTCACAGGCGCTGTGAGCTGCTTGTCCTCAGGCGCCCGCTCAGTAGCTCCCTCGGGGCTGATGGGCGTGGAACTGGGCTTCCCAAGGCTTCTGATCCAAGGAGCTGGTGGGAAGGGCTCTCACTGGGTCTCTCATTTGCAGCGCGGCCCGGGAGAGTTTCTGGAAGTCCTCCAGAGCGGCTGCATTCTCTCGAGAGATCTGTTCCCTCCTCTGCTGCTTTTTCCTAATGGCCTCCTTGATGCCCTCGATGTGGCCCTTCTCCTCCTTCTCTGCCTTCAGCTTCAGGACGTGATGATGCTTCTCCCGAAGGACGCTGAGCTCGCGAGCATGCTTCACCCGGTCTTTGATGTTCCCCTGGGTGCTACTCCTGGCCGGCCGGAGCTTGTCATCAACCAGCTCCATTAGCATCCTCTGGCGCCTCTGCTTTTGCTCCTGGGATTCTCCCACTCGCCACCGGACCTGCTGGAGCTGCTTGTCCTCCTTCGGCTCCTTCTCCCTCAGCTCTCGGTGGTGCTCCAGACCCAAGGCCGCGTGGGTCTCACGGAGCTCCTGGGACCTCTGCTCCAGGGACAGTTTCTTGAGGAGCTCTTCCGCCTTGGCCTGGCAGTCCATGAGGACCTTGCGGGCCTGGTAGTTGATGATGGAGGTGAGGTTGGTCTCCTGGGCCCTTGTCAAGTCCTCCAGGGCATGCAGGTGCCTCTTGTGAGAAGCCTGCTCCAGCCTCTTCTGCAGTTGCAGGATGTTCTGCTCCTGAACCCGCTCCTCCTCCATCAACTGCCGCACCTGGCACTGCTTCCTGTGCTCGGCAGGGGCTCGGGCCTTCACCAGCTTCCCCTGGGCCTCCAACTGCTTCTCCTTCTGGATCTCTGCCTTCCCCTCCCTGTCCTGATGATGGGCATGCCGCTGGCAGCACAGGTGACCCTTGGGCTGTTCCTTCTGCTGCTGCCACTGCTCCTGGCTCTGCTGCAGCAGCAGCCTGCGCTCCTTGGCCAGGGTCATCTGGACCTTCTGGTCTGAGCGCTTCAGCTCCTCCCAGGCGACCGCGGCCTGCTGCTGCAGCTCCCTCATCTTCTGGGCCTTTTGAAGGCGGGCCAGCACCAGGGCCACGATCTTCTGGTCCCTGGAAGAGATCACCACGTCTGCCAGTTTGCTTCTGAGGATCTGCGAGGGCTGGCTCGGAAGCTCCTCACAGGACACTGTCTCTGAGCTGCCCTCCAGCTGGGAGTACTGGCCGCCTAGTGACTCCAGCAGCTCCTGACCGCCCCTCTCCGGGGGGTGCCCGGAGGCGGAGCATGTACTCCCTTTGGAAAGCATGGAAGACTTCCCTGTGGGACCTGGGGAGAAGGACCAGCAATCTCTCCGGACCGGCACTGCCCACCGGTTTCCATTCTGTGCGTCTTCCCCCCCAATCGGTGCCCTCAAGGGAGTGTAGGCTCCCCGAGGTCCCGGCGGGGGCGAGTCTCCCTGGGCCGGAGGGTACTGTTGGCAGGGTTGAGGCTGATGCAGTTGAGGCGGCTGCCAGGTCAGGCTGTGCCCTCCACCTCCCAGCCGCTGGCCTTTGGACCTAGCCTCCCCCCAGGCATTTTCCAGGCGCCGGCTGTAGGGCCGCTGCTTCCGGGCGCGGTCGGGGGCCCTCTGGGCCATGTCGGTCAGGCTGCGGCTTTCCCACGGCGAGGCCGGGTACCCGCGCCCGCGCCCAGGCCATGGCGGGGGCGAGTGGCGCAGTGGGAGCGCCTGCCAGGGCGACGCCGTCTCGCTCCCCGCCGCGCGGGCCGGGGTCCAGGGGCCCAGGGCCAGCTCTGGCCGGGGCCCAGGCGCGCTCCACCGCGCCGACAACGTGCGCTCGGGGATGGGCCACCCGGGCTCTGCGAAGTCCAGGTAGGGCCGGGGGGAGAAGCGGTCGAGGCCCACCATGATGCCTCCGGGCGCGCCCAGCCTGCGCTAGGGTCCCAGGGCCCCCAGGGAGCACGACAGGGGGGTGGGGGGGCGGGGGTCCACCCCCGATTCCTGTGACGCTCTGGCCACTTCACAATGCACCTGACATCATGGAGTCCTGGCCACCCCTTCCCCCATGCCTACCCCGCTTGGCTAGCACCCCAAGCTCTGAGACAAGAGGGGTTGGGCCTGCAGGGGTAGTGCAGGTAGATAGGGAGAAAGTGCCTCCTCCCGGGGCGGGGTCGGTGGGGAACCGCAGTTAATCAGTGGTGAGAGTTCGGGCTGAGGGTACAAAATGAACCCCCACCAAAGTTTCAGGTGGGAATTTGAAGCTGCGTTGGGAAGTGGCGGCATTCAGGAGTCCCAGGGAAGGCATCATCCCACATGACAAACTGGCAGAGGGAAGGTGCTGGGAAGAGCCCCTGAGCCCTGGGCACTGTTAGCATTCATTTGCAGCCGGCCCCACATCTGTGCGCCTCCACAGTACACGCTTCGACGCCAGGCATCCCCTTTTTGACGTTTAAGTTTGGCAAGCCCTATAATATGTTTGAACATTTACTTTTTTAAACTTTAGGAAAAGGAGAGTTCTGTTTGTCCTGAACCAGGAGCCCTGCTGGCTTAGTGGTTATCTGTTGGGCTTCTGTCTGCAAGGTCAGCGGTTTGAAACCCCCTTCTCTGCTGGGGAGAAAGAGGAGGCTTTCTACTTACTTTTTCATAGGGTTACAGTCAGAGAAGTCACAGGGGGCAGTTTTACCCTGTCCGACAGGGTCCCTGGCGTGGCGGTGTTCGTTTCGATTTTTGTTTTTCCGCCCTGGCAATCGCTGTTTTTCACCCTGGCAATTATGATTATCTTCTGCACTCCCTGAGATAGAGAACACCTGCGAAGGTCACCTTTATTGTGTTTGTGTTTGTTTTGTTTTTGTCCTCTCCTCTAAAAAGTTGTGTGACTTTGACCTGTTGATGCGCCATGGGCTGTCCCTGGGGAAGCATGGGGTCCAAAGGTGGGCGATTTTCAGTGGAATCTCCTCTGCACCTTTTCACATGTATGCTCTTGACTTTCTGGACCCTCGAGTTCCCAGCAAGTGGAATGTGGTGGGTGGTGACCACAGCAGCTCTGCAGGGCTATTGAACAGGTGGGATGGGATTATGCAACAAGAGCCTTCGCACCAACTAAACATTCAAGAAATATTATCTCAATATCCTGATAGACCAGCGGTTCTCAACCTGTGGATCGCGACCTGTTTGGGGGTCGAATGACCCCTTGCATTGGGGTTTCCTGATTCATAACAGTAGCAAAATGACAGTTAGGAAGTAGAAACGAAAATAATGTTATGGTTGAGGGGTCACCACAACATGAAGGACTGTATTAAAGGGTGGCGGCATTAGGAAGGTTGAGAACCACGGTACTAGACTTTGCTTTAACGTTTTCAGAAGCAAACTGACCTATGGGTTGACAAAGATGTCTGCAGATTCCTAGGTGAAAAAGAAAGGAATGCATGTCATCTCAAAGCAGTTGGGGGAAAGCGTGGAAGGTCAGGGATGCTTGAGTCACAGGATCTGTCATGGCCACACTTGACATGGCACTTAGCTAACTTCCTTTCTAGGGGGTGCAATGAGGAAATGTTTTTGGAAAACATTCTCCAAATAGTGTACCCTGCCGAAAGAAGAAAAAGGGGTACTTATCCACCCCAAGTAGGAGCCCTGGTGGCACAGTGGTTATGCCTTGGGCTGCTGATCAAAAGACGAGCAGCTCGAAATCACCAGCTGGTCTGTAAGAGAAAGATAAGCCTTGCTCCTCACTTAAAGAGCGACGACGACGGTTCCACCCTGTCTAGAAGGTCTCTAGGAGTTGGGATTGGCTCAATGGCAGCGAGTTTAGAGACTTGGGGATCCGTCTAGGCTCCTTCATTAATATTTCTTTCCTTTGAACTTCACAGCTACCCCAGACAGGTTGGGCCAGGAGAATTGATCCATTTTCCTGAGGACAAATTGGAGACATGGTCATAATACATGAATTCCCCAAACACCACTCACTTAAAATGAGGCGTTTTGAGTCAGTACTTCTGCCTTGAGATAGGTTGCTTCTCGGGAAATAGATTCTAAACTGAAACATACTTTTAAGGATCTGCCAAGCCAAGACCTGCAGTCACCAAAAGACACAATTCACACAGGCACTGGTTGGATGAATGCTTTCCTTACAGAGAGAGTTGCACGTTGGGCTGCTAACAGTGAGGTTAGCAGTTTGAACCCACCAGCCTCAGAAACCTTATATAGGGTCACTTTGAGTCAGAATAGAGTCGGTGACAGTGGGTATGTAGAATAGAGAGCCAACCAGGTCAGCTTCAAGAGTGGGGTGTCAGTCGTCCATGACCAATAGGTCATGGAGAAGGACCCTGTTTACTTTCCACTGGAGACAGGTATAGCCATGGGGTTGGCTGTGTGCCAAGTCACATGCATGCATAAGTAGTACATTGAAGGCTAACTGTGTGTCCAGAACAGGGGCAAAGGAGAGGGGGAAACTGAGACACAGACAGAAGCCTGGTTCTCAGTTTGTTCCCAGTCCAATGATCTGATTAGGCAGTCTGTTTGAGGGTGGCCAGGCTCCGTGACTGACCACCCTCCCAACAGAAACATATGACCACATGTGCGTCCATGGATCAAGGCTGCATGTCTTGGAAGCCACGTGGTTTCAGCCTTAATCAGAACCACTGCACAGTCCAGAGGATGAAAAGTTGGTTCTTTCCTATATATCTACTGGCCCCACTGTACCATTGTTAGATAAATTACCTTATATGATGGCAGCCCTTACCAAGAGGTGAACAATTTTTAATTAAACCAAGCCAAATTTAACTATTTAAAAAAAGGAATGAACCATTTTAAAGTTAAGTATTTCGACAAGACTGAGGAGCCTAGTGTTCCAGGGGTTAACCAGTTTGGTCAACAGTTCGAACCCCCTGCTGCTCTGTGAGAGAAAGGTGAGGCAGTCTGATTTGGGGACTATTTGCCACCTTGGGAACCCTGAGGGGGCCAATTCTACTCTGTCCTGTAGGGTGTTCTGAGTAGCTGTGCTGAGTTCCACACCTCTGAAAGCCAGTACCCATGCCACTTCCTGTCATGGAGGTGCAGTGCCCCGTGGAGAAAACCCAGCCACCAGAGAGCTCGGTGACCTGCCTCCAGCTGAGTCACTCTGAGCAGTGATTCACTTCAGAGTCTGGGCTTCATCAGCTGTCAAATGACTGTGCTTCAAGTGGCGCCCTGTTAGGTCTCTTCCAGCCCAAATGTAACTAGAGAAAGAGGGTTCAACTTAATAGCTGTTTCAGCCTTCATTCCATAAAGTTCATTCCATGAGTAAACCCATGAAAAACACTTCCAGCAGTCTGTGGCACGTGGTAACTGCCTGATAAATATTAGCCACTGGAATCATCATTATCATTATGCTTACAGCAGTCAAACTGTGCAGAGCTGAATTTAAAGACCGAGCTTAAGGCGGAGCCAGAATTGAACCAAGGGCTTGACTTTCCTCTTCGGGCCTCTTTGGTCTTGTGCTCCCCCTAAGCCATCTCAGAATTCATTGTAGAACAAGTACATCGTGGTGCCTTCTGTCTGCTGCTGGTGGAATAAAGGACATGGTCTTCACCAACGTCTCCAGTGTGGAAAGTCTGGCCAAGATCATTCAGGACCCTTGCCCACCGTTTTTCTAGAGGAAATGGGCCCAGGTCAACACCATGGGCTGGGTTGCTACATAATAGCTTTAACAGAGTCCCTAGGGGTGGGGAGGATTCAGCTGGTCTGGGTTTGCATCAGGGGAGGTCTCAGACAGCATACATGAGCACTAAGCCTGAGAGGACAGCAAGGGTATCAAAAGACAGAGATGAGCAGGATGCACTGGGGGAGGAAGCTGTCGGAGCCATTGCACGGGGCCTCCAAAAGGCCCAACCGACCTGAGGCCCCGTGGAGATTGTGTAATAAGAACACCGAGGGTATACACAGAGGGGTCGATGTGCTGAGGCCAAGGAGGTGGACTGGGCCCAGAATCCAACAGACTTGATGCCGTGCTGAAATGAACAGGCATCATCCCAGCAGAGTTCCAGTTGTGTTCAGAAGAGCTGCAGAATTCCTAGGAGTTTATCTTGGGTCCTAAAGTGAGTGGACTGAAGGGATTTTAGTGCAGGCACTGATCCTTTGGTCCCTGCTTAATCCAAAGAAGCTCAGATTGTTTTGTTTTCTATATTATGGCTCCTTATAAAATCAGCGTTCTTCTAGTTACATGTAACATTGAAATTGCAGAAACAACGAGGAGCCATAAAAATCTTTAACCCAAGCAAGATGTTGTTTTGTGTTCTTGTATTTTTGTATTAAAAACATTTTTACATTTTATTAATTGGGAATTCATACATATATCATTACATAATTCAATCATGTCCAGCAGAACTGTACACTTGCTACCATAATCAGTTTCCAAACATTCTACATGGGCTCCTTGACTTCATCTCCCCTTCACCCCACCCACCCCACCCCCAGCCCCACTGTACACCCCTCCCCACAAGCCCTTATTCTACTTGCTATCTCTATTGGTTCATCAATCCTAGGTTTCATATACCAAAAAATGAAAAAAACATATTACACAACTTCAGGAGGGTGACCCCAATGACTTAACACCTCTGAGTTACACCCTAATATGTATAAACAAAAACCAAAACAAAAATACAGAAAATTTTGGAGAACAGATCGGGATCTGCTGACAAACTTTTAACTATTCAAGTCAAATGTATGCCTTTGAACTTCTATACTCAACTCATTTTAAAATGCACTCAATTCATGTGTGGCATGCAATGCCATGGAAGAGATCAGCTTACATGATATGCCAAACCAAAACCAAACAGAAAAAAGTTTTCAAACTATAGAAGAAGAAAAAGAGACCTGACTGGTCTATAGTTTAGAAATTCCCCCTCTTGGCAAAAGTGTGGAAGAAAATTTGG